TCACCACTGATGACCTGTAAAAGGTGTGGCTAACTACTGACCACACCCATACGAATTATTGGTAGTTAATTAATAGTTATTTATAAATTAAATGAATTAAAAGAATGATAATAGATTAATGCTGAGTCTTTGGTATAATGATACACTTAATAAAATCAAAGAGTTTAAAAACAGAGGAATTAAAGCTCTGAAGAGCTGGTTAGTCGAGGGTCCAGTATCAGCTCATTACTGCCCACAGCAATCCCGTCTGCTGTGTATAAACCTGTTTCAGTCTGGTATGGGTTCTCTCCAATACTGTCAAGGGAACGTTGAAACTTGAAATCATCATATCTTGGAGGGTCTTCCTCCAGTGAGAACCCAGCCCCACTCTTAGAGTTCTCATAACTGGCCTCCCAGTCCTTGCCATTTCTCTCAGCCTCGTTAAAGTGAGGGTAGTCGTAAATGTGATACTGTTCATTAGTACTAATGGACCCATTAGTGTGTGGACCCCATGATGTACTAACTGACTTCTTCTTCTTACGGTAGCAGACACAGAGACAAATGATGAGACACATGCAGCAGGTGAGGGCTAGCAAAGACACTGCCCCGACAATAGAGTAGAACAAGAGCCTAGGGATAGGCAGGAAGAAGGATGAGGGAGAAGGATTGACTCCAACTACTGTAGGAGCTACAGTGTTGGTTGGTGTTGTTGTTGATGGTGTTCTTGTTGTTGTTGTTGTTGTGACTTCTTTTACTAAAAAGTAAACAATTGTTGTATTTAATTTGTTTGTTATGAGAAATGGGATCCCTCCATGGATTTGTGTAATTAATGATATTCATATCTGTGGTTAAGTAATTAGCCACACCCCTCAATAATCATGAATATTAATGAGCCAACTTACTGCAAGATAAGGTCACGTCAAACTCATGTCCACACAGCTCATGATTATGAATCTCATGCTCGCAGTCCAAGAGTCGGTCCTCCCTCCCTGTGCACTGGGTCTCAGCGAAATATACATACCCATCAGTGGGTGGAGCATCAGTACTAAACAAACAAACAAATTAATTAATAAATAATTCATTATTATCAATTACCAGTTGTTGGTGCAGTACGTTATAGCTCTGGTGTAGTTGAGTTGTTTGCAGGCGACATCAGCAGCTGTTCTGCTGAAGAACTTGCCACAAACTGACATCCAGAGACCATGAAAACTGATCAGTAACCTACCAGAGGCTACTAATGAACTACTGCTCCTGCTGCTGCTGCTGGCCTTGGACCCTGATGGTATCAATCTAACCAACCCATCAGCATGGGGCCTCTCCTTACCTGCAGTATATGTACAGTATCAGTGGTATATGTAACACACTATCAGTAATGGACTCACTGCAGGACAAGACTACATCATCATGATGGCTACAGGAACCACTACCAGTCACTGTGTGACGACAGGATAATATGTCAGACTCGAAACCTGAACAGGAAACTGATGTTAGAGCAATAGGAAACTCATAAGAGGAACTGGAACTGTAGGGAGAGAGAGAGAGGGGGGGGGGGGTCAGTATATTCTTTCATATTATAAAGGTGTCCTTACTTTGCTAGTCTGTAGCTGCTAATAGTTTCAAATCCCATCTGTCTACAGGCCACATGACCCGATAATTGATTAAAGGACCGCCCACACACTGTTCCTCTGACTCCACCCACTACAACAGTCAATCGTCCTGAACTGGAATTAACAGCTCCTAATGATGGGTCAGTAGGACCATAGGAACCTAATGCAATAGTGTAAGTATAGTTAATAATGATAATAATGGTTATACTTACTGCACTGTACTCCAACAGTGTCATAAGGATAGCGGCAGACTGAGTGGGTGTGTCTAGAGCAGGACATGAGATGAGCCTCATCTCCAGAACAAGAGAAGGAATAGGGTAACGAGGAATTAGGGTGTACCGTTATACCACTCCTGTAGATAATAATAATAATAATAATAATAATAATAATAATA